AAAAGATCTCAGAAAGAAAGTATTAATGGCCATTACTTTGTAACAGCACTGCCAAATTATTTTAAAAGAGTTATAGCTCTTAGTTATAATGCCCTCTACTTTTTAAATCGTTTCATTCAGGCAGGGCCAAAAAAATGAAAATAAAAACCCTAAGAAAGCAATTTTATTTTTAAAATAACAACACAAAACACCTGGGCCCCACGCCGGTCTCCGGATCAGTGGCTGCGTCACGACGGCCTGAGCGCTCAGAAGACACTGCGCGTGCACGGGTGCGCGGAATCTCCAAGAAACGCTCTGTCCTCTGAGGACTTTCTCCAGCACCCAGGGATCCTGAGCCGGCGTATTTTTCTGGGTGAGCTCCCGGGTGACAGTGACGCGCCTGGGAGAGGGCTCTGGCTCTGAAACAGCTTCCGTAACCAGGCAGTCAACATGCCCAAGGGGCGGCGCAAACGCCAGCCAGCGGATAAGCGGAGCCCAGCCTGCCGCATCACGGAACAGTCGCAGGCTTCCAGAGGGCACAGCCACCCAATCAGAAGGCGGCCTCGTCCTCCAGCACCCGACTCGGAACCCACAGAGAAAGGGAGCGGGCGCCAAAGACGCGAGCGAAGGGCCCAGCGGCTTCTCCGCAGAGCAGACTCTGCACCTCACAGGCCCAAACCAGGCTTTCTCCCGGAGTTCCGCCTCTCTCCTCCAAAGCCGCACTGTCCAACATTTGGCTTTTAAATTTAGATTAGTTACAATTAAATAAAACTCAAAATTCAGTTTGTCAGTCCCACCAGCCGTATTTCTGGTGTTCAAAAGCCAGACGTGGCCAGTGACTGCTGCAGGGCAGAGCACAGAGAACGTTTCCTCCATCACAGGGAATTCTACGACACAGCGCTGACCCAAAGCACCAATTTCATCACCACATTTTGCCTTTCGGTTTGGTTCTCAGGCTTCTACCCAGGCCCCCACCTGAGCACTACAGTGCCTGCCCCGGCTGGACGCTGGCAGGGGCTGGAGGTCTCCAGGCCATCTAAGACTTGCAAACTGCCCCCTCCCATGGCTGAGAATCACTACTAGACCATCAAACGATTCTTCAAAATTCTGAAAAAGAATGTCATTCCAATTCAAACACAAGTGCTAAGCTCCTAAGATACGAAACGAGATAAGGTAAAGGCAAGTCGCTGGGGCGACGGACCAGCCCTACTTCTCTGGGAGCTGCCTGGCCATACTGAGAGAATCACACATTTTTTGCCTGAGAATTTGGAGTCGGCAACAAAGGCGAGCTGGGTGGAATATGGCAGTCCTTCGAAGCAAGGAGATGGAAAAACAATCCCACCACCCAGCTCCAACAGCGATCGACTGAGGCGGCCTGGCTTCCGCTGAGGCCCACCCATCCACGCCCCTCTGTGCTCGTAGGTGACCGAGAACTCCGAGGAGCCTCTCGGGGCCCAGAGCAGCCGTACGTGCCCAGAGCAGAGGGCGGCCAGCGGCAGGGAGGGAGGCCTCCTGGGGGCTGTGAGGGTCCAGGCCTCATCCTGGGGGACGGTTACTAAGCCCCTCTGGGCCTCAGTTCCTTCCCCCGTAAGATGAGCGCCAACCTCCTGAGGCTGTCGAGAGGAATACAGGAAACAATCCCATGAGATGTTGAGCTCCACACCCAGCTGAGCGGAGAGCAGTAAGCGTGAGCCCTCCTGGCTGGGGCAGGGGCTGTCACTGGTACTCTATCCATGGCCCAGCGGCACCGTTTGCTCTTGGTTCTAACAGACACCCCAGCAACTTCTTCATCCCTTCTTAAAGCTAGGACAATCTGGTTTCACGGTTTCACCTTGGGAGGAAAAAAAGGAGTCCATACAAAAGAATACACATATACGATCACTACTGATGCTGTGGCTCACTATTACCTCCACTGCTATGCTTTTACTATTACTGTGACTGCTACTACTACTAGTTACTACAACTAGTTGTAAGAATAGTAACCACCATTTTTTGAGCTTCTACCCCAAGTGAAGCACCATGCCACACCCTTTATAAGTATCTCACTGAATCCTCAGTCACTTGTAATGAGATTCTGTTATTTTTTCCACTTGACAGCTGAGAAAATAGGTCCAAATAATTTAACAGATTTGCCTAAAATCACAGAGCTGAGGAAAACAAGGACTTGAACCCAGGTCTGCCTGACCGGATACCCCATGCCTTGCACCACTACACCCAGCCCAGCTAAAAGCCTCCTGGAGCTAAGAAACTAGCCCCCCAACCTCAAAAGACAAGAACTTTGTATCACATAACCTAAAAGTTAAAAACGCCAAACGAACAAGGACCCTCACTGTTTTCCAGTGGCTATTTGACCCTCTTTCAAACGTGCAGTCTACCTTCTTTACTGGGACTCCTCGATTTTCATTATCTATGATCAGCTGTTTATTCTGACGACAAGGGCCGCCCTCCCCTTGGACCCTCAAACAGTTCTTGAACTTGCAGGTGGGGCAGGAGGAGAGAGATCTTACATTTTGCCCCCTTTTTAAAAAAGCCATAAAACTGCAGCATTAAGAACCAAGGTGAGGGGGCCAGCCCCATGGCTGAGAGGTTAAGGTCATGCACTCCACTTCAGCGGCCCAGGGTTCACTGGTTCAGGTCATGGGTGTGGACCTACATGCCGCTCATCAAGCCATGCCAAGGCGGTGTCCCACATAGAAGAACTAGAATGACTTACAACTAGGATGTACACCTATGCACTGGGGCTTTGGGGAGGGGGAAAAAAAAAGAGGAAGATTGACAACAGATGTTAACTCAGGGCCAATCTTCTTCACCAAAAAGCATACCTTTAAAAAAAAAAAAAAGAGCATTAGCCACGGGGATGGTAGCCCTGGCTTCCCAGTCACAGCTTGCCTTTAAAAGAAAGAACAGAGGTGAGCCAGTCCCCTGTTTCTGGCTGGAAGATGTTCCCTCTCATTTCTTCCTTTAGAGGCAGATGTTCTTAGCAAACAGCAGGCCAATCAGATTTCAAAGAATTCCAAATTTGTGGTCTTAGCTCCACCACAGACTACGCTCAAATGAACCAGCATTTCCATCTCGAGGACTTGCCTGTGGGGATGATGCTTCACTGACTGTCACCGTGACCCCTCTGCAACGAATGGTTCTGTGCATCCTCAGGACTCTGCCCACACGACACGCAAGCCTGGGTGTCTGCAGCCCGTTTCACAGGAATTGGGGGCCCCACGCATGCACACCCAGGCTGGGGCAGGACACCCCATGAGCAGAAATTACCCTGCAACCTCTTTTCCTTCTCTCCACCCGAAACATGCACCCACTTCCATGCAACGCACAACAATGTCCAGAAGCTGGGAGGAGCATGAAGAGACAGACAGTTGCTCCCAGGATTTTGGGTTTCATGGGCCAGTAGAATTTCAGAAGCATGTAGTAGACTGATGGAGTTAAGACAACAATGACACTTAAAAGTAACCACCAAACACCACACACACACACACACACACACACACACACACGGCCACACTATCTTCTATCACTACCATTTCACAATGAAAAAGTTAAAAACAAAAATGTAGACAGGCCAGAGGTCCACAGTAAAAGACAGTTCTTCCAAAGGAAAAGAGAGTTAAATTTTCACGTAATGACACACACACACAGGGGAGGAGAGGCGGCACACAGACACACACAAGACCTTATTTTCCTTTCTACCTACAGATGGAAACCCGCGCTCTGGCTGGTCCGCGCCCAGTACCGGGCACTGCAGAAGTGCTCAGCCAGCATGGACGGCCCTCCCACCTTGCCTTGCCCAGCCCGGGAACCCATCTCAGCCCAGGCTCTGCGGGCGATCCTGCTGGTCCCTCCCGGGTCCACTTTCCCAGCCAACACCCCCCAGCGCCCATCACACTCCTCCTTCCTAACCAAGCAGGAGGCCGGGGTGCCAGAGACCTCTCTGCACGTCCTGCAAATCCCAGACGGAACTTGTGCAAACTTTCTTCCTTGAGAACAAACTCTACTTCCTCCAAAACGTCCTTTGAGGGGTTCTGTCCGTGTACACACTGAGAAACGTCTAGGTTCTCGTTTACTCAGTTAAAGGAGATTTCAGGGGCACAAACAGTGTCGCCCACGTACAAACCAAGTGATGAAAAATCAGGAAGCACTTTACTATAACAGCATTAAAATTGGAACAACTCCCAGAGAAGAAATGTACATTTGTGAAAATGGGGAAATACTCTGCAAATAAAAAAAAAGTATTTCTCACATTTTAAACCAGTTACGTAAGAAAAGTCTGAGGCCCACCTAAAAGTGATTCATTTTCTGGCGAAGTGCTAGCCAGCAGTTCATAATAAAACCAAGTCCACCTTCGTAATACTGCCTTCTCCCAATGAATCAAACATTCCACGGCCAGAGGCGCAGGCATTAGTGGTGAGGGCTGAGCCCTTCTAGGTAACATGCAGTCGTGAGTGTGATGTGCTTTAGGATAGAGGATATTAGTAACTCACACCTTTACACAATTTAATTCACAGCAAAGTGCAGCCACGCCTTCCTAACAGAAAAAGCAAGACACAGAAAGCTTAGATGTGTTCACTAGCAGGATGCCCCTTGCTAATCTATGTAGGATCTGATTTTTAACTTTTTTAAAAACCAGCACTCCTGAGTCCCCTGCATTCTTTGGTAGCATTGATTAAAGGTCTGATCTCCTCTCGGCATGAGATACTCGAGGGCACAGATGCTATAAAGCATCTGGCACAGGCTGGCACAGAGCAGGTACTTAATCCATGTTCGTAAAAAGTAAGAAAAAAAGCCAAAAGGAGGATGAGTCTGATCCATTTTGCATTTCTCCCATTTATCACCACTGCAAAAGGTTTTACAGCAAGCCCACCCAGAGACTAAGGGGAGGTGGGGGAGATGCCCAAGGCTTGATTAAGAGGCAAATTCTACACAATCACCTAGATATACCCACAGCCGCTCATCTTCCCATTGAGAAGAATTTGGCTGGAACAGAATTAAGAGGAAAACAAAACGGGTCTTGCCTTCTCATCCTGGTATAACTTGTTGACGCTCTCCATCTGAAAGTTGTGGCTGGACTGGATTTTGTCAAGCTGCTCTCGTTGCTTCTCCAGCTCTCCCTGGAACTCATTCTTCTTCAGCTCCACAGCGCCTCTCTCTGCAGCCGCCCTGCGGACCCTGCCTTCCAGTTCCATGATTCGTGTCTACAAGGACAGCACAGCATAAGGGCAAGTGTCGAGCCACCTCTGGAGACCAGTCCACCGAAGCTCCCTCAGTAAAGACAGCATCGGGGCCCAAAGCCAGCACCAAGCCTTACCCACAGTGTGCTCCCACGGCTCGATCTTGTAGGCCAGTTGTCTAGAAGCTAAAGCAGGTTTTTCTAGAGAAATGGTGCTACATGTGGAGGAATTCACTTCTCTGAGCTTCGGTGTCTCCCCTGCTTCGGTGTCTCCATGGAAACACACCTCACCCCTCAAAGGGGTTCTCTGAGGCTTAACCGAGCTAAGCAGATGAATGCCTCAGGCTTTACCTGGTGTGAGCCGGTGCTCAAAATCTCAGTTCCTTCCCCTGCTAACAGAGCACTTGACAACTCTGTACTGGACAAAATTTCTGAGAACAGATCCAGCTCCCCAACTCCAGACACCAGACCACATGTGCCCGGGGAACAGGAGCACCAGAACCCCGGGTAGCCAAGCCAGAGAGCAGGACCAAACCCGCAGACGGGACTCAGCTCCATGGCTGAGGGCCCCAGCTCCGCGTCAGAGACTGGGTTGGATCCAGCTCCCCTGGACTTCACCTCTCTGTGCCTCAGTTTGCCCGCCTATGAAATGGCAAAAGTAAAGTCCCAAACTTAAAGTCTGTGTTCAAAAGAAGATCATGTATGTAAGGTACCGCTAAAGCAGAGTTATCTGACACTTGTTAAAACGGTAAGGGAAACTTTATTCAAGACTTCTCCAACAGGGGTCAGGACTGTGGCTGCTGGGAGAGGAATTGTGCTCAGCTCTGAAGACGGCAAAGGCAGGATTTACAGCCAAAGAGCGGAGTGCGGGGCCCAGTGGGGGCAGAGTATTAGGAGGAGACATGGAGGGTAGGGGATTCTTGCTAAACCGGCCTCACAGGATCCTTGCTGAAGGCCAAGGGCTTAGACTCCAAGCATGAGGGATGAGGAGCTTGATCAGGTATCAGGGGTGGGGGATGACTTGGCAGGATTCCCTGCTAAGCTCAGCTGGGCAGGCCACACACAACCTGGGGGCCAAGACGGAGGCCTGGTCGAGAGGAGGGCTCAGAGAAGCCTGAGTTTGGTCAAGGAGGGCCTTTGTCACTGCCCAGCACGGTGCCTGACCCACAGCAGGCAACAATAGATAGGAAAGCTAAAATTATCATTAAGTGATGATGATAAAGATTGCTACCTCTGAAAACATTTCTCACACCCATTATCCAAATACGTTTACACCACTGCTCTTTGGTATCTAGTGTGAACTGGAGGACCAGAAAGGACTGTGGTCAGAGGACGTAAGCAAGCTGTCTTCCCAGAACCGGCCCAAATGGCTCGGCTGAAAATTAACTGACATGACAAGCCAAGAGGGATGTTCTGGCGCAGTCTAAGAAGGCATGGGGGGTCCTTTCCCAGCCAAGAGCAGAGGTGGTGTGGAGCGTCAGGCCTGGGGCTGCGGCGGGATCTGCACACCCCTGAACCCGCATTACAGCGTCGCACACCACTGAGCAAGGTGCCTCATGACAAGTGACAAATCCCTCGGGCCCGCCACCCAGCAACATCACATACTCCATGACATCCACAAAGACAAGACAAACAGAACACCTGGAGATCCACGCTCCGGGAGCTGGCGATCCAGTAGTTGAAGCCCAGGACAATGATACAGGCCACCAGGGCAGCCAGCACAAGGGGCGGCGACTTCATGCTCCGACGCCCGTTGCCCAGTCCCCTCATCTCAAAGGCAGGGCTGAGGAGCTGCCAAAAGAAAACAAATACGTAAGCCTCAATGCCAGCCTTACCATGCCCAAAGCAGGCCACAGCCGCCACCACAGCCACAGAGAGGCGGCCTGCCCGCAGGCACGAGGGGCATTTCCTCCTGGAATCGTGAAGCTGGCCCTGAGGAAGAACGGTGGGCTGCAGTGGTGCGCGCCCCGACCAGGCGGCCGGCCGGCTCCCCGGACAGGCTCCTGGAGCGCAGGCAGGAGAGCACTTCTCGCACGCGTCAGCCTCCTCCTGCCTCCCCGCAAGGTCTGAGAATTACTTATCGGTCAACAGCAAGAACAAACATTAAGTGCTTCCATGTCATATTAAAGACAATCCGTTTCTCCTTATTAGCCAGAGGGCTTTGTGATTTCATTCCTAACAAGGGACGGTTTTGCCCTTTGACAGAATTAGTAATGACACCTAATTAACGTGTCTCCTGAGCAAAGCAGGAAGTCATCCTGGAGGAGTGTGGCCTCGTACTGTGAGCTACCACAGCGCTCGCTGCTCAGACAGGGCCCAGCAGCAGTAACAAGGACTGGCCCTGGCTTCCTGTGCCACCTGCCCCCTCCTGTCAGAGCCTGGATCAGTGTGGGCACAGCGCAGAATGGCACACAGCACGGCGAGTAGGCAGAGACTTCGAGAGCTGCAGAGCGCCAAGCTGCTTAAAAGAAACACAAACGCAGCTCACACGAAAGGAGCTGCTATCAGTTCCATTCACAGGCTTCAAGCCAAACCAGGCCTGGCTGGATACCAGCACTGGTCACTAAGGCCAAGGAAGTGGACTCTTCCACACGGCTCTGCTGAGCCAGATAAAACAGGACCTGACCAGAGGGAGGGCAGCGCACACAATCAACGCTGTCCGTGCAATCAGCAGGCTCACAACACACACGCTTTCCTGCCAGGTGCGGCCAGCAGTGGGAGAGGCAGGAGAGAGCGCCAGGGACGCACCTTCCAGGCAAAGTTCCTGAGAACCTGTAAGAGCTGACAGAGCTCTCACCCCACGTACGGCAGTCCTGTCAAAGTGTGTCCCGGGAGACGGCTTCTTTCTCAGCAGCCGGTACTAGGGTGGCAGCCGAGAGGGGCATCAACAAGCAACCTGGTGAATCACCTACAGTAAAGGCCACCAGAATTCCTACGTATGGAACAGACGGCGGAATCCAGCCTCCGCTGGCGCCTTCCTCACCAGCTTCTGGTCACTCAGGATAAAACAGGAAAACAATGTTTCAAATTCAATTATTAGTTGATATCAGCAGGCACTGTACATACTAAAGGAGAGGAATGCTCAGAAATAATAAACTTCTGGAAGATTCTATAGGTCCACTAAAAAAGTGTCTGCACTGCTTTATCATATGTGATTTTGATTGCAAAAGTCTTTTTTATTCTTTTAAACTTTTTTTTCAAATACAAAAGTACAAATACAACTAGGGAGAAAAACCACACAGAGTACACAGAAGTGTAAAATTAGAAGTCCCCCTCTTCTCTCTCCAAAGCCCGCCTCCTCCTCCAGCGGCTGGCAACCCTCGCAGGGCATCAGAACCACCTGGGACATCTTCCTGGAACACCGACACGTGAACCCCACTCCTCCTTCTATTCAGTGGGTTTAGGACAGCCCCCAGACATTGGTATTTTTAATCTCCCCAGGTGATTCTAATGTGCAGCCACGCTTCTAGACGTCATTCTCCATGTTCATGCATGCATATACAAGCATCGATACATATATTTTAATCCAAACAAGATCATGCATAGTGTTCTGTAATGTAACCTCTCAATAATATGTCTTGTCACCCTTTTCCTAGCAGCACAGTATGGTTTAGTCCATTCTCTTGAAAGGCCTGAATAGGGCATCACTGTTTGCCAGGATTTACTTAATCTCCCAGAGGGCCTTTCGAGGTTTTCAAGGCTTATTTCCAACAATGCTGCCACAAACACTCTCACATATCCACACCTGTGTTTGCAAATGCTTATCCAGGGGTACCATCCCTTATCCACAATTCTGAAATCCAAAATAGTTTTTAAAACCCAAAGAGATTTTTAAAAACTCATCCAGGAACAAGACCTGGCCCGACCTCAGACCAAGGTCTGATCAGAACTCACCTGAAGCTACCTAGTCTCTATCTTTCCCCCTCATGTGAATATTCACACATTTTGCTGCAGAAAGATACGTGTTTGATTACGGGCGCTGCTGCAGATCCCCCCGGGGCTGTCACATAATGTATAATAAATGCATTTTATTCTCTTCTGAATTCTGAACAAATTCTGAATTCCAAATACCTCTGGCCCCAAGGGTTTGGGACGGGAGGGGGAACCAGCAGGGAGCCGCCTGCCTGTGAGGCACCGACGGAGAGCTTCAAGTACAGGGCCCCACTGAGTGCTCCCACCAGTTCCAGGGGCATCATCACGCCCACTTTGCAGGAGAGGAAATAAATCACGGACAGCTGTGCATAAATTTCTGTAAGTGGAATTGCTGGGCCAAAATACACATGCATTTAAAATGGACAGATCGTGTCTTCTCCAAAATATTTCACAAATTACAGAGGAAAAATAGTACCTTTACAGTGCAGAATCCTGGCAGACACCATCTTAGCCACGCGATCAAGGCTAACATCACAGAAATGAGACAAATAGCCTCACGTACTGCCTGATGCACTGGCAGGAAAATTCAGAGGAACCCAAACTGAGAGACATTCCATAAAACACCTGACCAGCACTCTTCAGAAAGTGTCAAGATCAAGAAAAACAAGGATAAGACTGTCACAGACTTATTAACTACAGAAACATGACAATTAAATGCAAGGCAGGATCCTGTCCAGGATCTTTTCCAACCGAAAAAGACCATCAGGGGAAAAACTGAAATCTCAGTAAGTTCTGTACTTCAGTTAATCAGACAGTGCCAAAGTTAATTTCTCCATTTTGATAAATTCTCTGAGTATGTGAGATGGTAACATCAGGGGAAGGCGGGTGAAGGATATAGGAGAGCCTTCTGCACTATTTTTGCAACTCTTTCATAAACCTAAACTCTAAAAAAGTTTTGATGGATGATACCATATTGGCTTCCAAAGCGCCTCCAATAATTGACCCTCCCTCCAGCAGCACGAGCACGTCTGTTTTCTCACACAATATGTTAACTAATATTTGGCAATCGCATTAACGATATTTTAAAATACACTTCTTTAGTTATGAGCATAAATGAGCATCTTTTCATTTAGAAACCACTGCTGCTGAGTAAAAAGGGACGACACAGGTGAAAAATGGCAAAGGCTGACGACGACTAAGGGCAATACCTCAGGGCCCGAGTTTATGGCTGTCAGATGTCGCAAACGCTCTCCTTTCCCCACCTTAGAATTTATGTGGACTGGAGGAGACGGAACTGCGTCAAAAAGATGTATTCATTTTAATTTAGGCTCCAGAAAGTGTGTCGTCTCATCTGACTATAGGCATCTGACACACTGAAAAATGATTAACCTAAACCAGACAGCCTGTGAAACCCCAGGCCTCCCTGGAGTGGGAGTTAAGCGGCGTGCTTCTGCATTAAAAGTTTCTTAGTAAATTGGAAAAGTCATGAAAATCCTGCAGATTCTTTCCTACTGGCTTAATTAATTTAAAAAATTCAACCAATTGGTTAAAACTGTTTACTCGTAAGACAAAAAAAAGTTTTATACGAGAACAGAGACCTCTAATTACTTAAAAAAAAAAAAAAAAAAGCATATGAAAATGGACAGCCCAGGGGCCGGCCCTGTGGCTAAGTTTGCACACTCGCTTCAGTGGTCCGAGGGTTCGCTGGTTCAGATCCTGGGCGCGAACATGGCACTGCTCAGACGGGCCACATAGAGGAACCAGAAGGACCTACACCTAGGATATATACTACTATGCACTGGGGCTTTGGGGAGAAAAAAAAGAGGAAGACAGGCAACAGACATTAGCTCAGAGCCGATCTCCTCCCCCACCAAAAAAAAAAAAGAAAATGGGCAACCTGCCAAATCCACAAGCCCCTTGACCCTCCTAGTTAAATATCTGTTTTTCATTTCCTTATTTTCACATAGGGCTTTTAATCACTTAGGCAAATACACACAAGCAATCAAATCAGATTAGTTTCTTTGACCAATGTCACCACTGTTGAAACAACACAGCTTTTCCAAACAGTGGGGGAGCCACACCTTTATTCCTTCTCAGAGGAACTGGCCTCATCTGGATCTGAGAGCCCAGAGCTGGAGGTGTGCAGGAGGAAGTTTCACTCAGAAGCCACTGCAATGAGCAGAGACCTGGGAACACCCAAGCACAGCACCTCAGGGTCTGTGAAGGACTCAGTCACCAGCATTTTTTTAGGGTTTAAGAATGTTCTACCTTGTCCCAAAAACGTCTCCAAGCCTGGGGTCAGCATCCCAAGGCCCACAGGCCATCATTGGCCTGTTTTCTAAATAAAGTTTTGCGGAACACAGCCACGCCCCTTCACGACTTCCTGGCTACAAGGCAGAGTTGAATAGTTGAGAGCCAGCCATTTAGAGGGTCATTATGACAATTAAAACGTTTATTACCTGGCCCCTTAGAGAAAGTCTGTGGATTCCTGCTCTAAACCAGAGAATTAAATGACCAAATCCATTGTATTCCCCTTAGATTGCTTTAAAAATTTACCAGGAAGTACACAGAATCTCCTCTCACTCCCCCACCCTCCAGTATAAACACCATGTTTTCCCCTATCCTGGAAGCTGACAGCTTATAAGGAAAAAGGTTCATGGTGACCATAGTTAACGACACTGTCTTGCATATTTGAAACTTGCTAAGAGAGTAGATCTTAAAAGTTCTCATTACAAGAAAAAAAAATTTTGTAACGGTATGGTGACAGATGTTAATTAGACTCACTTTGGTGATCACTTCACAATATATACAAATAATGAATCATAAAGTCGCACAACTGAAACTAACAGAATGTTATACATCAATTATATCCCGATAAAAATTTTTTTAAAAAGAAAAATTTTTTAATTAACGCACAC